CGTTTAATATTGATGTGTAAAAGAGGGAGAACTGAAATAAGGAGGGGGGGGGGGGTATTTTAGAAAACGGAAATAGAGAAAAGTAGCACTTCCGGATATCAAAGGCCACTGATATTGACCTACATAGATATGAAATTTCGTCAGTCTATTTGATAAAGTAATCACGTTTAAGTGTTTACACAGAAATCGAATATAGCACTACTTCCGATGATCGTAAATCGTTCAAAAGTTGACAGAAACCTGCGCATCAAATTGAATACTATATTATAAAATTTCATCATCCTAACCTAAACGGTGCTCAAGTTAACTGCTTTTGAGGAACCGGAAGTAGAGTAGGTACCATTGCAAGGTACCGGAAATAGCTAAAAGGTTAATACGAATTTGATATAATAATTATGTATCAAATTTCATCAACATAACTGAAAAGGTACTCATGTTAACCTGTTCACTAGGCTCACAGACACACCTAATCACCCCCCCACACACACACTCACACACATACCCACACACCCACACACATACAGTGTTTCTTCCAGACTTTTTTCTCCGGGGGGGCACTTGAAATTTTCGGGGGGGGCGGTAGACTTTCTTCGGGGGGGCGGACACTGTAAAAAGTATATATTTTCTATATAAATTATATAAATTTCATTTCGTTCGGGGGGGCGGTAAAAATTTTTCGGGGGGGCTCCGCCCCCCGAAGAGATGCCTGAAAGAAACTCTGCACACATATACATACTGAGTTGTAATTTTTCGCATTCAGGGAGTTGTGAAATGTCAAGATTAAAAATGTTTCAAAATCTCGCATTCCAGTTTTTATGTTGTCCCTTTACAGTACTTCACTTATATTCTTTATACGAGAAAGTAAAAACTTCGTCAGAATAATTATTCATGTTTAATTTTATATCTGTTTGTTTAATGCAACACTACTCCTTTAAATTACTATCAATGTTTGAATTGTCTATTATATGCCACTAGACTACTTTAAAAAAAAAAAACCGAACTGCCCACACTTTCACGCATGCTAGATAAATCATTTCGTCTCCTGGGGTTTTTTCCTTTAATTCTTCTTTCAATTTTTTAACGAGACGACACCTTCCCTTCCCTAAAAACTTGACGAAATGACAAGTTTATGGCTATAGCAGTTGAGTTCGGCATCATTATGTTAAAACACCTTACAAAAAATTGTGTGTAAAACATGGTATACGTGTTTTAAGGACTGGTTGTTACTAAAAATACTTCAGCTGTAGCCTACTTTTTTTTTACTGATATATCAAGCGATCTATAGAAGGGTTCATTTGTTAAATGTTATACCTAAAAATAGTTGCATGACCTACTAAGACTTATTTCTGCGTTTGTATTAAGGGTTCATCAATTAATAAACCGGGAGTGATCTCCCCTAAACTTTCTCGAATATTCTTATATAAAATAACAGGGGATGGAAACTCGGGCTATAGACATGATTTTTAATCCATTTTAAATACTTAAAGTTTTAAAAATAGAATAAAATCTCGTAGACAAATTAATTGCACACCAAGTGAACGCAAATAAAAAAAGCGCATAATAGTGCGCAATATTATTAGTACTTTTAAAATTTACATTAGTTTTTTGAGAAATCGGAAGTAGCGTAAATTACTACTTCCAGTCAACGGAAATTACTCAAAATTTAACAGAAGGTAGAGAATTAGATCTTTTACTTACATGTGAAATTTCATTTATCTATCTGAAATAGTACTCAAGTTATAGGCTTTTAAAAAATTCAAAGTAGGAAAAGTACCACTTCCGGTTATCGGAAATCGCTCAAAAGTTGATACGGATCTACGATTTTGATAAAATACTTATATATGAAATTTCATCAACCTAGCTGTAACGGTACTCAAGTTATCGTGTTTACACACGGACAGACACACACACAGACACACACACACACAGACATACGGACAAGATTGCAAAATTATGTTTTTCCGTATCAGTGAGGTGTAAAACGTCGAGATTTGTAAAAATCTCGATTTTTTTTTTGCACGATTACAATACTTTCTCTATACTACGTATATACGAGAAAGTAAAAAGATTTCCGAGACATGACGTCATGCAGATGACGTCATACCATATCCGTGTCTCAAACTGTGTCTGGAAACAAAGTATAACTTGTGATGAATGTAGATTTGTACGTACAGGCAAGTGTGATAGTAGTTTTGTGACCGAAGTTTCAGAAATAATTTTAGACAAGAATCTAGGTCTCTTGTATTTGGTGTGCTAGAAAGACGTGTAGAAAAAAAAATGTGTGACCGTTAGGACTGACTCTGTCGACAGGAGTGTCTCTGGAGTCGGCCCCGACTGATTGCAGAGTGACGCCATGATGATCCCTGACTCCCACACCTTACTGCAAGACCACACCTGCACACTGCACCGCCACACCACACTACCACACCTCACCGCCACAACTCACCACCACACCACCACACCACACCACCACACCTCACCACTACACCACATCACCACACCTCACCACTACACCACACCACCACACCTCACCACCACACCACACCACTATTCTTCAGAACCACCTCACCACACCACACCACCATACTTCAGAACCACACCACCACATCACCACACCACCACACCACACCACCACACCTCACCACTACACGACATCACCACACCTCACCACTACACCACACCTCACCACCACGCCACATCACCACACCACACCACACCTCACCACCTCACCACCACACCACCACACCACCTCACCACCTCACCACACCACCACCTCACCACACCACCACACCACCTCACCTCACCACTACACTACCACACCACACCTCACCACCACACCTCAGAACCACATAACCACACCACACCTCGAGTTCGAACCCTCGAGCAGATGAGGCTCGATAGCTGGGGACAGAAACTCTTCTTGGGAGAGACAACTCCAAAATCAAACAACTGCTGCCTTGTTCTTGGTTGGAAGCAAATCCAGAAGGAAAAAAGCAGGCTGAAATCGGAGTCAATGGCCTATAAGGCGTATAAGTTGACACGTATACTTAATTGTGGAATCTCTTTTAACTAAAATTAAGAACGAAGAAGAAGAAAGAAGAAAAAGAGTTTTAAAAAAATGAAACGGGCTAAATCAATTTTACTTTGACGAGAAAGAGTCAATGGAACCTGTGTTAGTGCTGAAACAACTTTATAATATGTAGAGGGGGGTAGAATTTTTTCGTGGGGGCTTTGCCCCCCCCCCCCCCCCCCCGAAGAGATGCCTGGAAGAAACTCTGCCTACATGTAGAGTCTACATGACTTTTGTTGACGACGAGTGATGATACCGGATGTGTAAAAAAAAGTAACTTAAGCTAAGTATTATCATCAAGTTATTTATTGTTATATATAACACTTTTCACTTTCTGTACTCTATCGAAAATAAAGATGTGTACTCCGTGTTCGATAAAGATAAGAATATATATATATATATATATATATATATATATATATATATATATATATATATATATATATATATATATATACATATATACATATATATATATATATATATATATATATATATATATATATATATATATATATATGTATATGGTGGGTTGGAGTAAAAGTAAAGTACCATCTACACGCGGAAATATGTATCAGCAATTACTCTTTTTTCTCGTCTCAAGAGCAAAAATCACCTGCCACCTTACCCCTCCCCCCCCCCCCCCCCAATTGAATGCGAATTCTGAAACGACCCCACCAACCACGAAACGAGACGTAATCTTACCGTGGTCATGTGACTAGCGTATCCAATGAAACGTGTCCTTTTTAACAGATAAATTACATGAGTCCACTAATAAAAAAAAATGTGTCGTCTGCGACGTGTTGAGTGAATGTCACGACTTTTGTATAGATCATCCTGGGACATATTTTTAGATCGACCTTGAGCTGGAGGTCAAGGATAGAGATGTACTGAGTGGGGGAAGGGGAATGACATTATTTGGGATAAACCGATAATGTTTAAGTCAAGATGTCAGTGTGGCAGTGTGTTTCTGTGGGTTTATTTTAGCATTTGTGTGTATGTTTGTTTGTTCAGGTCTCTGTTTTTCTTTGAATGTTTCTTGTGTGTATGTTTTTGTGTGTGACTTTGTGTATATGTTCTTTGTTGATGTAGGTCTCTGTTTTTCTTTGAATGTATCTTTGTCAGCTTATGTTTCTGCGAGTTTGTGTCTTTATTTCTTTGTATCTGTATCTTTGTGTGTGTGTGTGTGTGCGTGTGTGTGTGTGTGTGTTTTATGTGTCTATGAGCATCTGCTTCTATACGCTAGTTCAAACTGTGGGACGCTTCTATTCATAAAACAAAAGGCGAGGGGGGGGGGGGGGGGGGAAGGGAGGGGTATGCGACGTTAAATTCAATAATGAACTATCGTTCAGTTCACCAACCCACATATTCATTCACACACATACTGAAGCACATTCATGTATGTAAACACTCACATATTGATCACACACATTCACACGCACATTCAAACATTGATAGAGGTCGTCCATAAATGATTTTACACTCTCATGTGGAGGGGATTCGTAATTTTTTGACGATGTTTTATGAAGGGGAGGGGGTCTGGTTTTTTGTGACAATCAATGAAGGAGGCGAGTGGGAGGTGAAAGTCGTCAAAAAAGTGTAAAACACCTTCACATATGCATTCACATATTAATAACACACACTCACATATAATCAAATAATAACATTAAAAAAACCCTCATCTATTTAACACAAACGCACTCACACACATGCACTCGTTCTCACACATCACACAGGCACTGACACCCACTCACGCACACCACATTAAAAAAAAACCCGGCAGACGTGAGACAAAAGATCCATCACGGCCATTGAAAGTTATAGCTTTAGCAAGTTTCAAATAGTTTGCAGGGGATGATGGATGGCCTAAGACAGACTTGATTGGGGGGTCATATAAAAAAAACGCTGACCCTCCGTCTAAAGCCACTGATCCTCCAGTCGAGCTGCATAGCTTTACCACAGGGGTAAGTCTGATACTCTCTAACCCAAATGGGTTCTGTCACGTTGTTTGGTTTCAAGGATAAGGTTTACGATACTCTCTAACAAAACGTTAGTTTGATAATTTCAAAACGTTTAATTAAATTGTTATAAAAATACTCTCGCAATAAATAGATTATTTGATATCGTCCGCTTTAAGTGCGGTTTAAGTAATAAGTTTTTCAATAATCTCTAATACAACGTTAATTTGATATTTGCAAAACGTTTAAATTTTTATGAATATACTCTCTAACCAAAATGGGTTCTGTCACGTCGTCTTGTTTCAAGGATAAGTTTTACGATACTCTAACAAAACGTTAGTTTGATAAATTCAAAACGTTTCAATTGTTATAAATATACTCTCTCAACAAATAGATTTTGTGATATCGTCCGGTTTAATTAATATTTTTTTACAATACTCCCTAATAAAACGTTTGTTTGATAAATTCAAACCGTTTCACTTTTTATGAAGAAATATACTCTCTCACTAAATAGAATCTGTGATATCTTCTAGTTTAAGAAATAATTTTCCAATACTCTTTTATAAAAAGTTATTTTATACATTTCAAACGTTTTAATTTACTATGATGAAATATACTTTCTTAACAAATGTGTTCTATGACATCATCTGGTTTAATGGATACGTTTTCCAATACTCATTATTTAAACGTTAGTTTGATAAATACAAAGCGTTTCATTTTTTTTACAAAGAAATATACTCTCAACAAATAGATTCTGTGATATCATCTTGTTTAAGAGAAAGTTTTCCAATACTCTTTAATAAAACGTTATTTTTTTAAAATAAATTCCAAACGTTTCAATTTTTATGAAGAAATATAATTGTGATATCTTTAATCTTCTACTTTCATTGATAAGTTTTCCAATACACTCTAAAAAACGTAACATTAAAATACTCCAACCGTTTAAATTTTTATGAAGAAATATACTGACTTAAAAAATTGGTTTTGTTATGGGATAAGTTTTTCAAATATTCTCTAATATTTTTTTTTATTAACTCAAACCGTTGTAATATTAATAAAGATTAATACTCTCCAAACAAATAGATTTTGTGATATCGTCTAGTTTTAATGATAGGTTTTAAATACTCTCTAATAAAACGCAATTTTGAAAAATTCCAGGAGTTTTAATATTTATGAAGAAATATACTATCTTAACAAATTATTTTTTAGATATAGTCGGGTTTAAGGGATTCGTTATCTAATATAAGTTTTTCAAGAAACTCAAACCGTTTTTATTTTAATGCAGAAATATACTCTCTCAGGAAATCGTTTGTGGTTTATGTGAAACATTTTCAATTACCCTTTAATAGTCTTTGATAAACTCAAAACGCTTTGGTATTAATGCAGAAACGTACTCTCTAGAGATAGGCTATACCTTGATTAATAAATATCTCAATAATTCGACTGGTGATTTTAACAACACACTTGTTTCAAATTCATAAATAAAAATATCATCATCATCATCTGTTCCCGTTTGTGCCCAAATATGGGGCAGAAGAAATAGAGTTCATCTGTTTCAGTGACCTCGGCATAAAATGGGATAGTGTGGTCAGTACTTTGCCCAGCCGCCTTTTATCATTAACGTGAGTTAGGTACCCATCAGAGCTGGGTGGATTCAGGGACGTTCTTCTGATTGAACCCCGATTCGAACTCGAGACTTTCGGCTTAGCAGTCTAGAGCTCTATCGCTAGGCCACGCCGTCCCCAAAGTAGGAATCCATAAAAAATTATTTCGGTGAAACCATAAGGTTCAATTAATAACATTTTAATACTCTCAAAAACACTTTCTTTTTGTATCGTTAACTCATAACATTATAACCGTTCAGCAAAAATTTACTCTCTAAAAAATTGTTTATGTGTAACCTTAAGGTTCAATTAATAACTTTTTGATACTCTCAAATACATTTTTTATATGGTTAACTCATAACATTATAACCGTTCAGCAAAAATACACTCTCTAAAAATTGTTTCGGTGAAACCTTATGATTTTAAACTTTTTTTTAAATTAAATTTTTCTTTGTTCTTAGTTTTAAATTATGTCTACTTTGTACTGTCTAATCAAGCTAATTACACATTCATGGTTTTTTTTCTATTGTGCCTAAAGACGAGGCAAATTTGCAACCCGTCGAGAATGTTCCAAATGGCCTTGACCCCGTATCTACTCCTCCTGGCCCTGGCAGTTCCGTCATGCATGAGCGGTGAGTGACGTCATTTTTACTTAAGTTCATTTACAAAATTATCGAATAAGTGATATCAATAAAACTAAAAATTAATTTTTTAAATAATTTAGACTAAACGGGATTTTAAAAGGCAGTGGCATTAAAATAATTAACTAATTATAAATACTTGCCTGGTGTCAGGTAAGCAACGCACTAGTAACTTTATAAAGTATAAAACGTTACTTTATAAAGTATACACCGTTACTTTATAAAGTATACAACGTTACTTTATAAAGTATACACCGTTACTTTATAAAGTATACAACGTTACTTTATAAAGTATACAACGTTACTTCATAAAGTATACACCGTTACTTCATAAAGTGTACAACGTTACTTTATAAAGTATACAACGTTACTTCATAAAGTATACACCGTTACTTCATAAAGTGTACAACGTTACTTTATAAAGTATACAACGTTACTTCATAAAGTATACAACGTTACTTCATAAAGTATACAACGTTACTTCATAAAGTATACAACGCTTCTTATTCTTTACTCTACTCCCACCAGTGGCGTAGCGAGGTCGGGTGTCACCCGGTGCGGCACTTAATGGTGTCACCCCCCAGAGACGTAGCGACCCTTCCCCGGGGACAAACTTTTAAATTTTCGATTTGCACCCCCCTCAAACTTTCGATTTGCACCCCCCCCTCAAGTTTTTCTCTATATATTTTGCTATTTTTTGCCTTGGTGTCACCCCCCCCCCTAAATGGTGTCACCCGGTGCGGTCCGCACCCCGCCCCCCCCCCCCCTCGCTACGCCTCAGACTCCCACCCATCTCTACCCCATACAACATCTGAATAAATTCCATTCCTAATTTGACATAACACTTCATCCCGCACCCAATCATAACAATCATTGATGGAATAAACAACCTCAGAATAGGGAGATCACATCCTTTATGGGACATCGCTTGTTAAAAAATCTACACTATAAACAATCGCTAAACCTTTCATTACGGAAAAAAAAGTATGAATGCATTAGCCAGTTACTTATTCCTCTAAAAATCCCAAATATCAGAATTTTGAAGGAAAAAAAAATGGAAAAAGATTTTTTTTTAAAAAGTCCAATTCCATTATATAACAAATCTCTATACCACCACTCAACCACATATAACACAATACATGTATAACAAAACGAAACACCATAGCTAACCCCATTTGTGTTATAAATCGTGTGGAATCCACGGTTTTGCTTTGACTTAAAAACTAACTGAAATTAACCTTATAACCGAAATTGCAGTTGACTTTGGTCTGTGCAGTTGACTTAAATTTCTTGCCTCAAAAAAAAATTCTTGCCTTAAATTTCTTCCCTTAAATTTCTTGCCTTAAATTTCTTGCCTTAAATTTCTTGCCCTAAATTTCTTACCTTAAATTGGAATGAATTCTTTCCAATCCACAGGAAGAATTCCCCGTGGACCCATAGGACCCATCATCAAACCCATCGTTCCTCGCGGCCCATTGCCCATTTTACCAATAGGACCATTTGGTCCTAGAGGACCAATAGGACCCAGAGGACCTATTGGGTTTTTAGGACCAAGAGGGCCATTTGGACCTAGAGGACCTATTGGACCAATTGTTCCTGTTGGTCCTCTGCCAATATTTCCTGGTCCTATCGGTCCTGTAGGACCCATCGGTCCTGTCCTGCCTCCCGTTGTGGGGCCGATCATCAAGCCCATCGTGATCAAGGGTGAGTAGGGGCTTGGCTGGTGTGTGATTTGGGGTGGGCATTGGTGGGCTGGGTTGGTAAGAGTTGGTAAGAGCTTGGCTAGTGTATATGATGTATTGTGGGGTTTGGTAAGGGTTTGGCTGATGTATGTGATGCATGCTCTGGTTGGCTTGGTTAGTAAGAGCTTTGCTGTATGGTGTGGGGGTGGGCTTTGATGGGCTTGGTTTTAAAAGTAGGCTTGGTGAGTAGTCACTGTGTGTAAGGCGGGCAGGTTTAAGGGCTGGTTGCTTAATAAAATGTGGGCTTAAACCAGGACCAAAGCTTCAATTCTGGCTGTTCGGGACTGATTCCTTGAAATGCAGGCTTATTGGTTGGGCTAAACAGTTGAAAGGGGTCATCCATAAATGACGTCACACTCGTAGGGGGAGGGGGGTCCGTAATTTTGTGACGATGTGTGATGAGGGGGAGGGGGGGGGGGGGTTTTAGATGTTGCGACGTCACATTTTTTTGCATTATAAAAAAGCAATGTTAGAAAACGAATTTTAGCGTTATTTCGCATTTTAGATAACTGTTTTAATAAATTGTAAGATTTTAGACAAGATTTTAGAAAAAATATAGATGTTTTAAAAAAATTCAACTGCAATTTTGAGGGGGGGGGGGTTGTAGGTATAGGTGTGACGTCATTTTAGGGGGGGGGGTCTGGCTTTTTGTGACGACGTGTGACGGAGGCGAGGGGGGGGGAGGTAAAAATCGTCAAAAAAAGCGTGGCGTCATTTATGGATGACTCCAAAGCTACCAATAGGATTTTTTGTAAATTGGGTTTTCAGTTAATTAAAGACGAGCATAGCTGAAAATGCCTAAATTCTAGTCGTAGGTTTATTCAGGGTAGAGTTAGGGTTCTAAGGAGAATCATTATGTAGCTACAATGAAGGGGGGGGGGGGGGCGTGGGGGCGGAGTGATTGTGTAAGTGAGTGGAAATGAATCGGAAATGTATTTTTATTGAAACGAGTTTCCCATTCGACTTTTCAGAAATTCCATTTGTCAACAAACACATCAGCGATCTAGCTCAGCCAGGTGAGTCAATATTGTACTGTAGTAGTGATATTCTGGGTGGACTGTTAGAGCAGGGGTTCTTAACCTGGGCTCGATCGAACCCCAGGGGTTCGGTGAGTCAGTCTCAGGGGTTTCATTGGAGGTGAAGACACACACCCGACTCGTATGATTAACGGTTGGAATTAGTTAGTACGGACAATGGAACTGTTAAGAAGGTTTCGGGTGAATGCGCTAATGAATCTAGGGGGGTTCGGTACATCCCAAAAGGTTAAGAACCACTGTATTGAAGAAAAGAAATTGGCTGGAGAAATTTTAGTATTCGATGGCAAAGAGTTCTTTAAAATAAATTTATATATATATATATATATATATATATATATATATATATATATATATATATATATCGTTCTTTTTATTTCCAGATTACCAATCCTACACAAGTGAGTAAACTATTGTGTACTGTCTGTCCAGCAATGACTAAATATTGTATGTGTTTTGTGAACTGTATATTGCTCTCAGTTGGTTGACTATGGAATGTCTGTATATTATTGAGTGAAGGTTGTCTGAGAATTGTTGACTAAATAATGTCTGTGAATTGTTGACTAAATTTTGTCTGTGAATTGTTGACTAAATAATGTCTGTGAATTGTTGACCAAATATTGTCTGTCAGATGTTTGACTAAATAATATCTGTGAATCGTTGCCTAAATATTGTCTGTCAATCGTTGACTAAATATTGGCTGTCAATCGTTGACTAAATATTGTCTGTGAATTTTTATCTAACTTTTATCTGGGAATGGTTAAATACTAAGCTATCTAGACGTGCATAGAATCGCTAAACGAATCCGTGAGAATATCCTAGATGTTATTTTTTCGTGATGTGAAACCAACACATCAAGATCTGTTCGCGTCTATGGATGTTTTCTGCTGTCCCAATCCCCGGGACAAACAAAAAAAAAAAACCCCACCCCTAGTGTTACTTCCAGACTTTTTTCTCGTGGGGGGGGGGGTGCACTTGAAATTTTCGGGGAGGCGGACTAAAATTTCCGGGGGGGGGGGGGAGGGGGGCGGACACTGTTAAAAGTATATATTTTCTATATAAATTTCATTTCGTTTGTGGGGGCGGTAGACTTTTTTTTCCGAAGAGATGCCTGGAAGAAACTCTGCACCCTTTCCCCCAACCCTAAAACTAATACAGGTAATTTCCGTGCCCGCCTCGGATCTTTCTAAAAGAAAATGATCCACGTAACCTTGACGTCAGCGAAGCAGACGTAAGAGATTACCGTGTCACCTCTAGCAGACGACTGTTCAATGTCCGCCCGACTCCGGAAGTGTAGGTTTCACACCTCTTGATGTTGTTTCACCCCAACTTGGCGACATCATTCATCAAAATAAGTCAAAGATGACTTGAGACAAATAAAATGACTTCTGACGCGTTTACTAGGCCATATTACATGGTTGTAAGCTGCGAATGTATCGTTTCCACGGAGACAGGCGGACGCTACTCTACCTGCACTAAGAGACTTGTTATTATTTCAAGGGCGCGTAACTTCCGGCAAGAAAGAAAACCAGCGGCTTTCGTGCAAGATTACTTGCTTTTTTTTTTTCAAACGTGGGATTAAGTTAATCCAACAATAAATGGTGGATTAAAGTATAAAATTTAGTCCATTTATTGTGAAATAATTATTTACGTTTTGAATATACATATATATGTATTGGGGGGGGGGGGTCGTGTGATGTGTATGAGTGTATGCTACATCATGTACATTAAAACCAAGCATCATAATGTCAGTGCATCGATGAAACATAAACCCGCTTGGCTTATTCCAAGTATATCACGTGAGATTAGACTGACACGGGTGGTATTTGAACTCGTGACTTTGACGTGACGAGACGTAACCCTTACCACTTTGACCAGCAAGTGTATATCCCTCCCCTACTCCACCCCCCCCCCCCCCCCCCTTCCCCCACCGCCGTCCTCCGCGCACGATCTTGACAAGGACATATCTGTCACAGCCACATGATGTCTGTCACAGACAAATGATGTCTGTCTGTCAACCCCCATTGAGACCGGCAAGTCAATCCGTCATGATTAGCTCATCTGTCACGTGCGTCATACATCACAACGTTTCGACAAGTTGTGTCGGACGGCGCCACCATTTAAAGAAACGGCTGAAGTCTGCACTAGTTGCGACCGACCTATCCCATGCAATAGTTTACTGTCTGTGTGCTTATACAAGGTCATTCAGTCTAGTTTATCCTAGATCTATATCGTTTTTATAAACAAAATTAATCTGAGTACTCTTACTCTTCATCGTTTTAATATACAAGATTAATCGGTGTAGTAAGTGTAGTATAAACCCTCTATCGTTTTTATTTACTAGATTAATAAACCTAGTTTATCTTTTAGCGATTTTATTTACTAGATTAATAAACCTAGTTTATCTTTTAGCGTTTTTATTTACTAGATTATAGTTTATCCTTTACTGTTTTTATTCACTAGATTAATAAACATAGTTTACCCTTTAGCGTTTTTAATTTAATAGATTAATAAACATAGTTTACTCGAGCGTTTTTATTTACTAGATTAATCAACCTAATTTACCTTTTATCGTTTTAATATACAAGATTAATTAAATTAGCTTATATTACCCTTTATCGTATGTCTGAGACTGCGAAAAATAGAAGCATTAACATGTCGCCCACTTGACCCCAGTCTTAACGCAATGTCTTGAACCTTTCTCAGCGGCAACCCGCGCCTTTCTTGCGTCATCTTCGAGCAGAGTTTTTTCAAGGCATATTTTGCATGAGCTTCTTGCTTTTAAATATTGTTTCTTTGCTTAATTCAAACTAGGCGGTAGATATTTAAAAAGTTTTTCAAATTATTCTAAAACTCAGTCTCTGAATAATAGCCATAGTGTGACCTCTGACCTATAAGTCACGTGATGTTATATTTTTACCCACAGCTCCAAATGGAGGCACGACCATTATCGACAACAGGCGGGGATTCTCAATCAATTACCGCGGTGGTGCCATTGGTGAGTCTCTATATGGTAACACTGACGAGTCTGTATGTGTGTGTGTATGTGTGTGTGTGTGTAAGCCTTAATAAGTTTGTTTAAGTGTGTGTGGTTGCATTTGTGTGGTTATGTGTGGTTGATTTAGTAAGTATTTCTATGTATATATATATATATATAAGATAGGGATGTGTTTACATTATACAACTTCAAGAAAGCTCAGTCTTTACTTTTAATCTTTACTTTTAGTCTTCACTTTCTGAATTGTATCTGTTGTCGTTCGTATTTTTTACAGGAGGAGGTGGCAGGTTTGATGGTTATGGTGATGGCGGCGCAGGTAATATTTTACATCTATCGATATACGTTCTATTAATTATGTTATATTGATGTGTGCTTGTCGATTTTTTTTTTATACAAGTCAAGTCTAATGAAATACATCATTGTCACATCTTCTTCCCATGTTTGGCTTACCTAGTGACGGCAAACTTAAATCCAATCTGTTTTGTAATAGTCTTAGGTATTTAAGTGAGACTTATATTTACTTTCATGCGTTCTAATTGTTGACTTTGTTCATTAAAAAAGGTATTGGGATTGGATATGATGGCTACGGAGATTATGGCGTAGGAGGTACAGTTTTCATTCTTTTATCTTCATTAAATATTTTACTATCAGTATCACATAGCACTTTAGCGGGTTTTAAATCATTCTTAACATTTTTTTTCTTCTGATTTATGCGCATTACTTATCAGCGATCAAAAGTAAATAATTCTAAAAATGTAGCCTTAGTTTTTGTTGGTTTGAATAATTTCTAAAACTTTTAGCTTAGTTCAGTGGCGTAGCGAGGTCGGGTGTCACCCGGTGCGGCACTTAATGGTGTCACCCCCCCCCCCAGATGCGTAATAACCCTTCACGGGGACAAACTTTTGATTTGCACCCCCCCCCCCCTCAAACTTTCGATTTGAACCCCCCCCCCCTCAAGTTTTTCTCTATATAATTTACTATTTTTTTCCTTGGTGTCACCCCCCCCCCTAAATGGTGTCACCCGGTGTGGTCCGCACACCCCCCCCCCTCGCTACGCCTCTGGCTTAGTTGATCTAGTTTTGCCTTTCGCTGGAAATGACGTAACTAGTTGAGATAACACGCGACAGTTATAATCTAAAAATCTAAAAAAAAAAAAAAACATCCATTAACCCTTTAAGGGTTGTTGGTGTGTCTAAACGTCAAATTTTTTTTTTAATTTGAACCTTACCTTATTATCACCCCCCCCCCCCTTCCTTCCTTAACCTTAACTATACGCAACCCATTGTAAGATAACTGCCTCCTTGTCAATTTATTTATATTAAAAAAAATTATTTGGTCTATATTTCATAAAATACTGTTTATAATATAAATATATTTGAAATCCACCCTACCAGTCATACCTAGCGACGCCACTGAAAAAAATAAATATGTTCTTTTGTTTACAGGAGCCGCTGGCGGCTTTGACACATTCGCTAGTGCATCTGCATCAGGTACGTGTATACGTACAGAATGTTAACAAAAGCAATATGTTTTCGCGTGTAATATTAACCGTATGACAGACTTTACATATGAGATATGTTTACATATGTATGATCAACATTATGACAAATGTTTTTACACAAGAGTTACTGACAGCTGGTAAAGATATTTTCTAATAGATGTTACATGGACATAATTTATAAAATTATCCCCCCCCCATCCTCCCAAGTGATAACAAAGTCTTATTTATTCCCCTAGCTGCAGCTGGAGGTTTCGATGGTTATGGTGGTCGTGATGGTTTTGGTGGTGTTGGTGGTGCAGCAGCCGCATCTGGTAGGTTTTGCTTGTTTTAATTTTAAAGGCAATTTACCCAATTTAGCTCAAGCAGCGCCTAGCCGGAACGGACATTTTTTCTTTACAACACGATGTTAACTTTGTATCTTTACAACAATGTCAACTTTGTATAGCCAATCTTTACAACACAATGTTAACTGTTTTCACAACACAATGTTAACCTTGTATAACCAACTTTAAAACATAATGTTAACATGTGTATAACCATCTTTACAACACAAGGTTAACAATTGTATAACCATCTTTACAACACAACGTTAACATTTGTATAACCATCTTTACAACACAACGTTAACATTTGTATAACCATCTTCTCTTAGCTGCAGCCAGTGCTAGTGGATTAGATGGGTTTGCATCAGCATCAGGTAAGACACAGTACATACGGCTTAAAGCTCAGCAACGTCCTTTGTTCTAGTGTTCTTTTGATATCCGTTTAGTGATAACTGAGACAGATAATTAGGAGTTTACCGCAATTAAAGAGTTCAATATAATAAAGAAGTTGATCATAATTAAAGACCTGAGTATATTTAAAGAGTTGACCATAATTAAGAATCTAAACATACTTATGGAGTTAATTATAATAGAAATCTGACCTTACTTAGGAGTTAAATAGATGGCCATAATTATTAATCTGACCATAGTTAATGAGTTGTTAAGGAGTTGACCATAACTAAGGATCTGACCGTACTTAAGTGTCGGACTATAATTAAGGAGTTAACTGCAATTAACGAGTTAACCATAATTAAGAATCTGACCCTAATTAAGGATCTGACCCTAATTAAGGATTTGACTTTAATTAAGAAGTTAACAGTAATTAAGTAGTTAACCATGATGGAGAGTTAAAAAATGTAATTGTATTTGTTCTCTTAGCTGCTGCAACCGCGAGCGGAATCGGTGGTTTGGGTGGTGCTAGTGCTTCAGGTGAGTGACCCGTGTGGGTTCAGGTGAGTGACCCTTGAAGGCAGTGGCGTAGCGGTTCGGGTGTCACCCGGTGCGGCACTTAATGGCGTCACCCCCCAGAGGCGTAGCGACCCTTCCCGGGGACAAACTTTCAAATTTTTTATTTGCAGCCCCCCCCCCCCCCCCCCTCAAATTTTCGATTTGCACTCCCCCCCCCCCCCCCTCAAACTTTCGATTTGCACTCCCCCCCCCTCAAACTTTCGATTTGCACCCCCTTCCCCTCAAGTTTTTCTCTATATATTTTGATATTTTTTGCCTTGGTGTCACCCCCTAAATGGTGTCACCCGGTGCGATCCGCACCCCCCCCCCGCTACGCCTCTGCTTGTAGATTCATGTGAGTGACCCGTGTGTAAGAGAGGAGAAAGAGAGTGTATGTGTGCGCGATCGTGCTTCCTTGTCAGTGCGCATGCTCTGGCTTATAAGTTATAACCAATAGGGCTTGTAAATAGGTCACCAACCAGTTCTATGGCTCATGCAGGTTTTTATTGAGGCGTAGAACTGGTTGGTGACCTACCTACCAGCCCTATTTTGGTCAAATTCTTGTATCTGAGTAAAGTTTGTAATAATCTTCTACAGCTGCCGCAAGCGCTGGTGGGCGAGGTGGTCTTGGCGGTCTTGACGGCCCTGGTGGGTTCGGCGGTCCTGGTGGACTTGGAGGTATCGATGGTTATGGCGGAGCTGGAGGTACTGCTAGAGTTTTAATAGAAAGTTTTTTTATAATTACGTTTCTTTAATTATATAATTATGCACCAATATTTAAATATCTATAAAGAAAAGCATGGGACACTATTTGATCTATTGAATATTTAAAATTTAAGAAGCGACCCACGCTTTTCTTTAAAGTTATCTAAATAAAGGTGCATTATTATATATTCAAAGAAAATAATATATTTTCTTCCTTTTAGTCTTATTAAAACGGTTATTTAATGAAAAGTTAAAAAATGTAACTTTACGTCCATTTTCTTTTTCTCTTCCAAAGCTGGAGCAGCAGTTGGCTTCGGTAAGAAATATAGAACGTTTGTATATATATATATATATATATATATATATATATATATATATATATATATATATATATATATATATATATATATATATATAAATATATATTCCGCACTACTATACACACACACATATATATATATATATATATATATATATATATATATATATATATATATATATATATATATATATATATATATATATATATATATATATATATATATATATATATATATATATATATATATATATATATATATATATATATATATATATATATATATATATATATATATATATATATATATATATATACATACATATACATATATATATATATGTTACGGTCAAAGCCCGAAGTCGGCCAACGCGCGGATAGGCCTGCCAATCCGCGCATTGGCCAATATCGCCTCTTATAGGTCGGTCAAAGTCCGAAACTTTCCTTGATTTCGGCTTTTGGCCGGCCAATCCGCAGACTGGCCATGGTGGACCGGCCAAAGTCTTAATTAGAAGATCATCTGGCTAGGGACGACCGGCCAAAGTCCGAATTAGAAAATCATGAGCAGATTTTGGGTTTTTTAATGCCGGAAGGATCATGAAATTAAGTCTTTATTGATTATTAATTAAAGTAAATGACAGAAACATTCAAAATTTTTATTGTACTATAGTCTCAATCAATCAATATTATAATTTGTTACAACAAGTTGAACTTTTATGGCATTTAGAATTACATAGGAGCTTGTTATTTTTACACTTGCAGCGATTTGTTATGCACTTGGTTGTGCAATTGCAGCGAGTGTAGCCTTGGCCCCCAGTCAATGATTGTGAAGATGCGATGGTTCGTAGTGATTTTTCCTCGGTGCCAACTGACGACAATAAGAGCAGTTTTTCGTGAAGAATTGAAAACTCACTTCTAGCATACAGTTGTTTTAGAACACCATGTTCCGTTCCTAATTTGTAGAAACCCCCCCCCCCTTGACGCTCATAACAACTGCAATCACGCTTCGGGGATCACCGTGACCTATGTCAACATCTGGAAAACGGATGCGTACATTGTCACCCACTTCACCATCTTTAAATTTTGTATTTGATGTTTTAAGCATCTTAGCACCTTGATTTTGCAAGCCAGTATGAGCTGCTGACCTGTGTTCCATGATGTCTTGTTTGTTGTGACACAATCTGCAGGTAATGTTCCCTCCGTACCCTTCGTCTGCTTCATTGGGTACTCCACAAATAGCATGGACATCTTTGCCACAGGATCCACAAGAATGAGCTGCACTACAATGTTTTTCACAAACTAACTACACAGAATCTGTTGGCCACATTATTGTCACGCAACTGGTCTGGAAGTTCCGCCACGGCAGCAGATGTGTTAGCTGAGGATGTAGTTGCATTTATGGCAACCTCCATTTCTTGTTCAATGTTCTCAAGATCTTCCTCAGTAACTATTTTATTGAGAGCCTCTCTTGGTAGATTTGAAGTGCTAAGTCCCACTTTTGCTTTGCATCCAAATAAGGCTTTGTATGGTGATTGTTGGATTCCTTGATGAAAAGAACGATTTTTCAAAAATTGAATGAATTTGAGACTCTCAGCCCAATGAGCTGATTCATTTGTTTGCATCCATGTCATCATCATGTTTTGAACATCTTGGTTGGCACGTTCGACTGAACCTTGGCTTTGGCTATGCCTTGGTTTTCCGTGAACTAGTTTAAGTTCAGGCCACATGTTCTTTAGTTCAGAAATAACTTGATTCACAAACAACTGCTAAACAATACGTTACTCACAATGAAACCGCACCCTGAATAATGAAAACGCGATCACAACTTAGTCTAGAAAGAACATTGGCCAGGACATCCCGGCCAATGCCCGCATTGGCCGGCCAATGTACAAAATACGCTGTCAAGTTTAAGCACTTCAGACTTTGGCCAGTACGTCCCGGCCAGTGCGCGCATTGGCCGGCCAATGTACGAAATACGATCTTAGTTCTAAGTTCTTCGGGCTTTGGCCAAGAGAGCCGGCCAATCCGCGCATTGGCCGGCCAATCC